TCTGAGCTGGGAGACAACGCTGGGTAGGGACGACTAACTGCCCTGTTCCAATGAAGGGAAGCCACCGCCCATGACAATCCGAACACATGCTCGCGAACAGAGCGGGCCGCGTCCCTAGTTATCATTCAGAGCAGCGTATGAACCGTTTGCTTGCCCGTGTAGTCTCAGAGCTGGGCTAGACCTCCGACTCCTGCCTACGCTGTAAACCAGCCCAATTCCCCGCCCCGCGTTGGCCTCAGCCGGGCCACCAACCGAGAGAAGCCGGAGAGCGGATCCGTCCGACGTGCCTCTAGGTTTATAAATAAGGATCTCGTTTCTCTTCACAGCTTTACATATCCAACCTACATACTGAAACGGTGCACAGAGAGGGGGGGCCCAGCTGGGAGCCGGCCGACAAGCTCTGTGCAGAGATTATATACACGCGCTGCCCTCTCCCTCGCCCCTAGTTCTCGGGGCTCACGTTCTGCCTGGCTCTGATGAAGGCCATGCCGTGGGTGCGGAAGTGCGTCTTCAGGTTGAGCTGGGTGTCGAAGCACTTCCCGCACACCTTGCACACGAGTTTACCGTCGGCCGAGCGCTGGGCCCCTCCCTCGTGGCCGCTGCGGGGGCTGGGCTCCTCCACCTCCCCCGCCCCCTTCTTCTTCTTGTGGGTGATGAAGCGGTGGCGGTTGAGGGAGACCTGGGAGGTGAAGCAAAGGCCGCACTCCCGGCACTGGTGGGAGCTCTCGTCTGTCCTGTGCTGGGGTATGTGCTCCTGGAACTCGGCCGCGCTGCAGGCCACGTAGCCGCACTTGCGGCAGCGGAAGGGGGCTTTGCGGTCCGCCTTGGGGTTCTTGGAGGGCGGCGTGGTGCTGTCTGGCTCCTCACTACACGAATCGCCCTCGTCCGAGGAGAGTTTCCGCTTCCTGCTGGACACCTGTGGGGAGGAGTTGGGAGAGGCTTGACCCTTAATGCTGGGCAGGGCCTGGGCCCTGTGCGCTTAAACTGGCTGAGCCAGACAAAGGCCAGCCCCACGCAATGAACACGTCCCTCCCGTGCCTCCCGGCAGGGGACAGTAGCAGCTCCAAGCAGCTCAGACAAGATGATCCTTTGGCTCCCTTCTCTGGCTGGATAAAAATCCCAACACGCAATCGGCCAGCCCTGGCAGCGGACTCAGCCCCGCCCTCATCCGCTCCTTGGCCTAAATACACTCACTCCACAGCCTCCCCTCTGAAACGCTGCTGCTCTGTATTCCCGGCTGCAGCCGGCCTCTCAAGCCAACTAGTCAGACAGGAGACCACCAGCCAAAAGCCAGGGAGCCGCACAAAGCGATTCAGATGGGGCCAGACCAGGATGAATGCACTAGTGGGAACGGTGCTGAGGGAGGAGCCCCATAGCTATCCCGCTAGCGCTCAATGATGTTCTATCTCCATAAACCCCCCCTGGAGATGAGATTCTTTGCTTCCTGCCCTGACTTATTGCACTACGTTGCTGTGGGTTGTTCTAATGGCAGCCATGTTCCCCCCCAAGAGGTGGCTGCATTGTTTGGAAGTTATTTTAACCCCTCCGTCTCCACTCCCTCAAACTGGGAGCATCCATCTGCCCCGTACCTGCAAGCTTCCGGGTCCCGTCCGGGCAATGACGACCTCTTGGCTCTTGGTCTGGTCCGTCACCTTTATCCCGTGCCGCACCTGAATGTGCTTCTCCAGGATCAGCCGGCTGCTGAAGGTGCGTTTGCCTTCGGTGCAGTACCTGGGAGGGACCAGAGCCAGGCAGGTAGTGAGGCTCCCCCGGGCACCTCGCCCACTGGAGGTGAAGGTGAACAACAGACGACCCCTAGCCCTGGTCTACTGCTTCCATCTCAAAGCACTCTGTGGGCGTCAAGCCCACCTCCCCTGGGGAAACTGGCTTGGAGAAGTGATGTTTCCTACCCAGAGGTCACACAGTAAGGCAGTGGCAGAACCAGACCTGGAACCCAGGAGTCCCGACCCCCAGTCCCCTGTTCTAACCACTACAGCACATTCTCCCCAACAGCAGGGCAGGGAAATCAGGAGTCCAACCCACCCAGTGCCTCCAGTCCGAGCACTAAATTTACTCCCCCTTCTGAAGCTGAGAACAGATCCCCAGGAGTCCGAGCACCACTCCTCCCCCTACTCTGACAGCCTTGCGGACTGCATGAACACCTCCCACCCTGAGCTTCGGATGGAAGGGAGGGGTGAGCTAGAGCCCTTTTGCCCCCCGAAACCAGAAGGAGAGGAGGCAGCTCGGTACCGGCAGGGATAGACTCGCTTGATCCCCTCGTGGTTCACTCGCACGTGTCTCCGGAGGCTGGGGGCGGAGCAAAACGAACGCTCGCACAGACGGCATGGGAACTTCTTCACCGACTGGAAGAAGCAAGAGAACAAGTCATGCCACATGCCCTGCCATTGCATCAGCCCATTCTTGAGGTGTACCGGATAGCCCCTTCTCCCATTACGTGGGGCTTTTATTGGGTGGGGAAACTGAGGCACGGAGAAGGGGTCACTTGTCAAGGTGACGCAGCAAGTCAGGAACAGAACCAGGAGACCCAACGCTCCTGCTGTAACCATTAGAGAACACACCCTGCTCCAGCCAGGCATAGATCCCAGGAATCCCGATCTGCAAGCCTCTGCTCTGTGCAATAAACAAAACACTGCCTTACCCACCACCTCGGTGTTTCAACAGGACCAGGTTCCCAGTGGATAAACTCCACCAGCTCTCCTCCCATTGGGCCAGCAACCACCCGGGGATTCCCTCTCACCTTCCCGTGATCCTTCTTCATGTGGGACACGTACTCGTCCCTCTCCGGGAACCAGGAGTGACACATCCCGCACGTCCAGCCGCTGCTTTTTGACTTGCTCGCATCCGTCTTGCGCTGAAAGCGGGTCCGCTTTGCCTTGCGCAGCTCTGGGGAGCTGGGTGGCTCGTCTTCCTCCGAGGACGAGGACGACGACTCGGATATCTTGGAGACGGGGGCTTCCACAGGCTCCTCCTTGGGGGTGAGCAGAGCAACCGGCTTCTTGGTGAGATCCTCCTTGGGTTTCTGCGGCTGGTGAGTGTTCTGTAAAACAGAGACAGGGGCGTCAGCCTGCCAAGGCTCGGATCCGGGTTCCAGGGGCAGCCCATGCCATGCAGCGATCCCGGGGGAAGGCAAGCCAGTCTTCCCCCAACCCTGCCATGCTGGAGGGTAAGGGGAAAAAACCTGTCTGTCCCATCCGAGATCATCAGCTTGCATCTGGAAGCCTGAGACTCCCATTCGCCCCACACACAGCCGGCAAAGGTGTCGCTATGCTCCAGGATGGGGAAAGGCAGGAGGGGTGTGTGTGTGTGTGTGTTCGTTCCTAGCACCGCAGGAGATAGCAGTGGCACTCAGTGGCCCTGATCGGGGCACCCATGAGCTAGGCGCTGTATAGACAATGAAGAGGCAATCCTTGTCCCAAAGAACTAATCATCTATAGATGTACTGCAAGGGGCTAGCCCAACCAATACTAAAACCAGTTACACAGGCTTCTAGGCACCAATCTCAGTGCACGTAGCATCACGCTAGAGAGAGCGCCGAACACATCCGGGCACCGATACACTGCCCTGCCAGACCACTGCCAGGTGGAGAACGTCCAGGCTAGACCCGCGGAAAGCTGGAGCTTTAGTGAACAGCAGCATTGTGACAGCTCCGCAACATGGTTAGGATCATCCCCACTTTACAGGTGGGGAAACTGAGGCACGGGGAGGGAGTGACTTGCTCAAGGACATGGGGAGTCAGGGAATAGAGCTCGGGGGGTTCCTACTCGGATCTTACCTACCTCTAGTAAATGGGGCACCGGTGCCCGACTCACCTTCAGATGTTCAAGCATGGTGCGTTTCTGGGCAAAGAGCAGCGGGCAGTCAGGACACTTAAAAACGCTGACCCTCTGGTTGAGCAGGTGTTGGTCAAAGTGAGAGGAGAGCAGGGGCTTGTGGGTAAAGACTGTGTCACACATTGCACATTTGTAAATCATCCTGAAAATCGGGGGGGGAGGGGGGAGAAGAGGAGGGTCAGGTTAGAAATAATCAGTTTCCCTGAATTTGGTTCAAACATGAAAAAGCCCCCCAAGGAATATTTACATACCGGGGCCAGTGAGATCAGGGCCCTGTAATGCTCGGTGCTGTACAGACAGTGCCTGTCCCAAAGAGCCGACAATCGAAGACAGAGTCAGAGGGGAAGTGACTTGCCCAAGGTCACCCAGCTGCTCAGCGGCAGAGTTGGGAATAGAACTCAGGTCTCCAAGTTCTGGGCCAAGGTCCTGCCCACTAGGCAACGCTGCTGATTCAACATAATTCAATCTCTTGAGTTTCTTCCCTAATCGGAGCAGCACACGGGAGGACGGCGGACACCGTGTGCTTCCAAAGGGAAGCACAGATCCAACTGAACTACCATGAGGAAAGTGTTCCATTATTTTTAGCTCCTCCAATGGGGGGCAGCAGAGTGCTGGGTAGGGAGAGAGACACTAACAGAGCTCTTATCCAGCACTTTTCAGCCAAGGATCTCAAAGCACTTTCCTCTCGTTACCACTCAACCCCCAAGCCCAGACATATTTAGACCCATTTTACAGACAGAGCCACAAAAAAGCTGCTCTCAGGGGTAGAAACAGAACCCAGGAGGTCCCGTGCTGTCAACTCAAGAGCCGCCTCCGCTCTCCAGATCAGGCTGAGCACCGTCTAGTCTTGCAAAACACACCGTGGGCTCTTTAATGACAAGTTGTCAGAGTGTCTGGTTTTCCTTCCTTTCTGGCAGACGGCCGCCTGAGTGGCTCCCTAGCTACCGTGCTTATTGAGGTACGGTCTTTCCTCCTCTCCCTCCCGGAGCACCAGAGAGCTTTCCTCAATGGTCTCCCCCTCCAGCTATTGACCGGGTGAGGCCCTGGGTCTGCTCCCCAGATCCCAGCCCGCGGTGGTACCTGACTGAGGTTACTTACTTGGACTGCTGATTGCTGAACCCCGGGTGCTGCGTGTAGATATGAGCGTGGGCGCTGGGGGCCGACTTGAACGCCATGGGGCAGATCGGGCACTTGTGGAAAACCTCGCAGTGCGAGGTCTGGATGTGGGATTTAATGGAATTCACCCCTCCAAACACCACGGCGCAACTGGGGCACCTGGAAGCAAAGAACACACGGTAAGGTGGCTATTTCAGAGGGACAGGGTGAGGTCGGGGACTTTCCCCCCGCTCCGGTAACCAGTGAGCAAAGACTGGGTTGTGTGCTGGCAGAGTCAACGCAGGCTTAGTGGCATGTGCCCAGCTGGAATTCCTCCGCCACTTTCTAGATGCAAGCGCATCTGCTGCTCTTTGGTCCACCTCTCCCCCATCCTGGATTTTAGCCCTTCGGTGAGGGTCACTGTCTAATGGTTAACAGAGTAAGATAAATTGCTGGGCATGGGGGACGGGTCAGCTAATGCATTCCTCGCTGATCACCGGGCTTAGAGAGGTACCCGAAGAGATACACTGGGGGATCAAAATCAGCCCTGCCAAGAAGGACAAATGTGGCCCTACAGGCCTAGAGAGACTTTAAAGTCAAAAGCAGTCAAACAGATTTCGACTTGGAAACGATCGCATGAATACAGGGACGTTCCCACAAGCTTCTTGTCTGCAGCCAGCTGCACTTCTCCGCTGGGAGATCTCTGCCCCAGAGAGCCTGCATTATTGCCCAGGAATGGGCTGATTCACTAGTGTTTTGGATCCTTCCTACAGGGTACAGGAAGCTGTTCAAACAGGAAACAGCACCAGTTTTGAGTTCTGCTGAAGATAAATAACGTGCATGGAATAACACCACCTATTTCTCCGATAGCGCTTACCTCTAACCGCTTCACAATCTGTAATGTATTTTTAAGAATTGCCAGACTGGATCAGACCAGAGGTCCATCTAGCCCAGTATCCTGTCTCCAACAGTGGCCAGTGCCAGATGCTTCAAAGGCAATGAACAGAACAGGGCAATTATCAAGTGATCCATCCCCTGTCATCCAGTCCCAACTTCTGGCAGTTGAAGGTTTAGGGACACCCAGGGCAGGGGGTTGCATCCCTGACCATCTTGGCTAACGGCCATTTATGGACCTATTCTCCAGGAACTTATCTAGTTCTTTTTTGAACCCAGTCATATTTTTGCCTTTACAACATCCCCCTGCAATGAGTTCCACAGGTTAACTATGCATTGTGTGAAGATGTTCTTCCTTATGTTTGTATTAAACATGCTGTCTACGCTCACAACACCCCTGTGAGGCAGAGCAGGGCTATTCACCATACTGTACAGATGGGCCACGGAGGCAAAGTGACTTGGCCGAGGTCACACAAGTAGTTTTGTGGCAGAACAGGGAACTGAAAACGGGTCTCCCATGTCTAGGGCTAGAGTCCTAATAGCTGGAGCATCCTTTCTCTCCTAGCTGCTGGCAACAGGAGACCGGCTGGCAATCCTGGATCCAAAAGGCCTCTTTATTAACAGGCCAGGTGCACCACGGGGTGAGTCAGATTCCTACCAATAGTCAGCCGGCCCTGGTGTCTCATCCCTGACCCAGAAGGGCCAGGCTCCGCCACCATTCACTCCTTGGCCTCTGCTGAGATTGACAATCCCAGTTGTGACGGTGGGGACATCAGCCCAGAAAGAACTGGAATGAGCCTCGCCCCTATCCTCCCAACCCCCCTAATTTCATACGGCCACCAGCCATCCCACGGCTCAGTCGCAACCAACCCGTGTTGGATTTGAACTGCTGACCTAGGCACTCCTGCCCTTTCTTATAGCAACAGGAAAATTCTTCGTCAGCAGTTGAACTGACGACAGCCAGAAGAAGGAAGCAAAGCTGACAGTTCATCCTCCACTTTGCACCAGTGACTGAGCTAAGCAGAAAGAATTGGCCCGGAAACCTTTTCCTGCGGCATCTGCAACCCAAAGCCTGTGCCATAGGGCTAGCCCGGTGCTTCTCAACGTCACCTGACTGGGACCCCTATCCAGCTGGGATGGAGTCAGGACCCACCCCCAGCCCTGCGGGAAGGCCAGGGTGGTCACAAGCCCCCAAAGCACCACAGAGCTGCAGCGTCGTACCTGTACCCCACCCTCCTGGAGAAATGCAGGCAGGCCTCCTTCAGGTGAGCCTCGAAGTTCGCCAAGAGGAAGTTTCCGCCACACTCTGGGCACACGTGAGGGGGCCGGTTTTTGTGCATCCGTTGATGAGCGTTAAAGCTGCAGGGATTGGGCATCATCATGGGGCAGGTCGTGCACACCTGGGGGGGGAAGCAAGCACAGGTAACGTGAGCGTCCATCACATGGCACCTCCGACCACCACCGACTTCACTAGGTTGTGCAAGAGCAACACACTGGCCATGTGTCCCTTTCCCTCCCGGCTCTATTCAGAGCCCCGGGAAAAACCTGGGAACACCTAACCAAGCCCAGCATACGGTATAAAGAAGTGGTGGGTGCATGGTTGAATTAGGCCTGGCACAAGTTTTGATTTTGCCAAGTGGGGGTCTGTTTTTAAACGGTTTTCCAACCCAGCCCAGGCAGGGAAGGGTTAGTATCATGGTAGCGCCTAGAGCAGGGGTGGCCAACCTGAGCCGGAGAAGGAGCCAGAATCTACCGATGTACATTGCCAAAGAGCCACAGTAATATGTCAGCAGCTCCCCCTTCAGCTTCCCACCCACCCCCTGCTCCCAGTGCCTCCCACCAGTCAGCCCCACCGATCAGCCCCTCCCCTTCCCTCCTGATCAGCTGTTTCGTGGCATGCAGGAGGCTGGGGGGGGGGGGGGAGGAGGGAGTGAGGGCATGGCAGGCTCAGAGGAGGGGGTGGGGCCTGTGGCAGAGCCAGGGGGCTGAGCAGTGAGCACCCCCCGGCACACTGGAAAGTTGGTGCCCGTAGCTCCAGCCCCGCAGTCGGTGCCTGTACAAGGAGCCGCATATTAACTTCTGAAGAGCCGCATGTGGCTCTGGAGCGACAGGTTGGCCTAGAGGCCAGCTGAGATCAGGGCCCCATGGCACGAGATGCCGTATAAACTCACACGGTCAGGTTGAGAAAAGGCCCTGCTAGTTACTGTCACTAGGTGCTCAATAGCTTTGTATCCAACCCATGGTAACAGAATCCATGCCCCAAAGAGTGCATGAGTAAACGGAAAACAGACACTGGGTAGGAGGGGAAACCGAGGCCCAGAGACTTGTCCATGGTCATTCAACAGAGCCAGGAAAAGAACCCTCGTCTGCAATACACATTAATACGCAACAGTCAGCGTGAACCAGAACAGCCCAAAGCCAGCCCCAGGTTGCTTGGAGGGCAACGCTTAGCAAGGGCCAGGTATGTCAATTGCGTCGGCGCTGCAGCACGGCTCCAGTGACTTGTATCCCGTGGGCGGCTGCTGCTTGTACTGACTTGCTTCCCGACGGCTGCTAGGAGAACACAAAGCGTGGAAGAAAAGCACCTTTTTCTGCTTCTCAAAAGTCTAAATAAAAACAACCAGGTGGAAGATGCCGGTTCAACGTAAGCCAGAGCGGTCTCACTCTGCAGTGCATCTTCCATCCAAACTGGTTCCAGAACCCCCCCCCTTTTCTGTCATTGTACTAGAATCAATGGGGGGGGGGGTACTGGATCCTAGCGGTAGAGCCGCAGGTCTTTGTACGTGCAAGAGCCGCGGTTGGTCGGCATGTGCCGAAGGCCAAGCTTAGGGGAGCTGCAGTCGTTAAGAGGGAAGCAGAAGCATGGACGAGGATTTCAGGAGGCGGAGGGGGCCACAGGAAGGGTGGGAGGAAGGAGCTGTGGGAGGAGAAGCCAAGGTCGACAGCTGGAGCCAGTGGATGGAAGAAGAAAGGAGGAGTGAGGAGTGAGTGCAGGAGCCCGAGGACAGAAAAGCTTGAATTAACCCTTTCAACGGTGACGGTGACGGCTCCCCGTGACTCTGTAAAGCGCTTTGATTTAAAGGGTGCTGCATAAATCCACAGCCTAGAGCCAGCTGCCATATACCTCCTCTCTGGGCCCCCGGCATTGCTTCCCCCAGGGACCTCGCCCTATAATTACTCAGGCTTGGGGCCAACGTACTAGGAGGAGTCCTTCGAGTACAGTTTAGCAGCGAGCAATTACCAGGGAGCAATGGACTGGATAAGAGAAAGCAGCCAAGACTAGTTCCAAACGGCCTAGGAGTTTCGGGCTCGGAGCGGTTTGTTGTAGGTTGGCTGGCGAGTCTCTCCTCTCTCTCTCAACAATGGAGGAAAGGGATTGCAACACTGTGTAGCTGGGACAGACTCTCAGAACTCAAGGGGCCCCGATCAGCACTCCATCGCTGAGTCCACACTCGCATGCTTGGGAGAGCACTTTGCACGACACACCAGTCCTGGCTTTTCCTAAAAGCGACGGGTGGGGGAGGGGGAGGGAGGGGAGAGAAGGCACGTGTGTCTGAAGAGCACCCTTATTTAGATTTGGCAACCAAGGCTGCAATTAGATCAAGCTTCCAGAGCTATGTGCGCATTCACTCCAGCTCTGTCCGATCCTAGGAGTTACTGAAGCAGAGAAAACTTTGCTGACAAATTCAGGCAGCACAAGAGATAAAAACAACAAAGGAAAAGCAGACAGGAGGGGGTGGGGTGGGAGACGGGCCAGTCATAACCAGATCTGGGCATCTGAGTTCAGACATCAAGGACAGAACACAGGGAAAGAAGGACAATACAGGAGCTGTGCAATTCGAATGGCCTCTTGTTAATTCACTTTGCCAGTGCCGAGTTAAGGTTGCCTGATGGTATCTTGTGCCCTTCCAGAACATTTGAATTCAGCTCAACTTCCAAAAGCCAGGAAATAAAGAGGTACAGTACATGCCATCCCCGCAACATCACCTTAACTCTGCCCCCTGGGGGCTAGCAATTGCCCCTGGAAATCCTTTGGTAAGGGCGACACAGTAATAAGGGGACACGAGGAAGATGTGTAAGTCGTGTCAGTAGCAATACATGGCGCTTTCCTGCCATGGCGATTGGTAGACGTGGTCTATGGGGTCAAGGAGGAGTAAGTGTAAGTATGGTGCTAATTGGAATCCGGAGGTAAAGTTGAAGAGGGCGTAAGAGGGGGTTACGGCCTTGTACAGTTCAACCATTGTGGTCTTGCACCTCTGGAGTGGACTTGGTGCACACCGGATCTAAACACGTTTTGCATTAGGCCTGGTCTACACTGAAGCATTATATAGTCACAGCTGTGCCAGCCAGGGGTGTGAGAAAACCCACGCTCCTGCCCAACGCCACTACGCTGGCAAACAACCTCCCTCCGATGTAGGCAGAAGAGCATTCCGTCACCGCAGCAGGGAGGTGGGGTTCTCAAGCTGTCGGAAAAACCCTTCTATCGGTACAGGCTGATGGGGCTATGCCAACAGTGTCCAGACATGCCCGTAGGTGTTCGATGCCGCTCCTGTGCTCAAATGCCCTATTACCCAAGTGTTCTGTACTCTCTGCAAGGCACAGGGCTAGGATGCGTGTTGGCCATCGCGCAGAGAGGACAGAGTTACCGTCTCCTTTAACTCTAGTTCCTGCTTTCCAGACGTTTGAATTGAGCTGAACTCGATGTCCTGGAAAGGCACAAGGTGCCACCGGGCACCCTTAACTCTGCGGGACCGACGCTTCTCGGCAGTGAATTCTTTTTCTGAACCAGAAAGAGCTGTTCTTTGCCGGAGACGGGATTAGTGGAGGGAGGTGTGATTATCAGGTTGAAGGTAAGGTGCTGCCATGCTAGGCAAAGGACGTGGTGTGATTCTCAAAGGGTCCTTCCCCCTCCTGTGCATTTTGTTGTAGTGCGGTGGTGAGCGTGGCCCTGCAGGGAAATGTCTGGAGGGTGCGGTTGCTGACAGGGCAGGGAGAGAAAGCACAGGTCCGGGTTATTTCACAAGGGGTTGAAAGTTTCATTCCACGTGGGTTACCGTAACTAAGCATTCGCGAGTTGGCTGGTGTGCATCTCCCTGTCTCAGCCTCTTCCTCACCAGAGCATATTTTCCCTCTCCCCTTTGCTCCTTTATCTATCCCTCCACCTTCAGCTTAAAGCAGATCTGGTTGTAGGCTGTGCTCTGGCTGGCTAAGGAGCGTGACTGTCCAATCTGTGACATGCCCAGTGTCCACTCTCAGCAGCTGTAGAAGCTGGGGGCATGCTCCATCCCTCCCATGGCTGCTAGCCGCACTCGCCCATTTACCTCTTCTCAGACACTTTCAAAGGGCACCTCAGCCCAACAGCCTGGAAGAGGAATCTGCTTGCCACAGCCCCGACAGACGCCCCAAGAATCTGGCCCCACATCTTGGCAGACACTGATGACAAACTGTGGGGCGCGCTCTGGCGGATTGTTGGGGGTGGGGGACACGGCCAAGCAGCCACACCAGGCGGCCCATGGCAGGGAATCTACAGAGGGCAGGGAAGGAGCGCCACCTCCACCCCGACTCAGCTCAGTGGGCCACACAACCCAGAGGAAGTGCTAAAACTTTGGGGGTCCTAAGCAAGTACATTTCCCCTCCCCCCAAAAAACATTGACAGCCCAAGCCCCCCACTGGCCAGGGCTGACAGCTCGAGTCCCCTGCCAGCCCAAGCTGGCTGAAGCCCGAAGATCACATAAAATCATGGAATCAGTGACCAACTGGAGCCATAAACAACAACAAAAAGGGGGCCCCTTTGGGCTGCTCAGACCCTACACAATTGCTTACTCTGCTTATGCCTAGCACCGGCACCGCCTTGGTTGTGCAGTAACAGGGGGGTGGAGCACAGACAGATTCCGTTAATGGTGGGGGTGGGGGGTTACTGGAGAAGATTGCACACCACTGTTCTAGCTGACTTTAGCCTTGAAAAGGCCTCGCTCCCTCCTGGGGCAGACAGACACCAAGTCCTTGCGCGGCTAGCCCCGCCCGCTGCATTGAACGTTAGCTTAATCATGCACGTGTACGTCGACCCAAGCTGGCAATTCCACCTCCGGCTGCAGTATCTACCCTCCCCTCCCCCCAAGAGCCTTCACCTGTCCTTCAAAGGCACCGCATCCATGCTACTCCTCGCTAACAACCCCTGTGCCCCAAGGAGTTTTCCAGACCCTTTGGGAATCTCTCCATCAGACCCACACAGCCTTTGTAACACAGCGAGGGCCCAGAAGCCCAGCCTTACCCATGTTCCGCATGCTATCCGTAACTCCAGCTGTGGGAGAGAGCGCTGCATCGGCACTTCAGGGCAGCACCTGTTCTCCAAGTACGCGATCGCTTCCCTGCGGAACACTTTGCACGAGTCACATTAAGACACCGGGCTGGAAATTGTATCAGCTGAGAAAGCAGTGCCACACCGGTGCCCAGCATTCGTTTCAAAGGCCTGCTGAGGGCAGGACTCGACCTCGCGGTCTGGGAGTACAACTGGGGTTGAAGCACCGGAGCACATCGCCCGGAGCTACTCCATGACTGACGTCAGATACACATGCCTCCCCGGCGCCCGTCCGGGTCCCTCCGGAGGTGAGTCCATGTGGGTCGACCCGGGCTTGCGGAATTCCCTGCAGTACACTTTGCGTGAGCTGTGCACGGGCGTCATACACAGCATTGCAATATTCAGAGCAGCAGTACGTTCAAGACACTAACAGGGCCTTCTAACGTCGCTGGGATACTAGAGGCTACTTTCCAAACAGTGTAAAAGAATCCCATTCTAACAGGCAGAAATAGCTCGAACCCCCGATTGATGAGGATGGCTGGGGGGTCACTGACTACAGCACCCCCCGCCCCGGAACTCTGCCATCAGCTAATATGGAGATATACCTATCTCATAGAACTGGAAGGGACCTTGAAAGGTCATTGAATCCAGTCCCCTGCCTTCACAGCAGGACCAAGTACCATCCCTTCCCCCCGATCCCTAAATGGCCCCCTCAAGGATTGAACTCACAACCCTGGGTTTAGCAGGCCAATGCTCAAACCACTGAGGTATCCCTCCCCCCTATGCTTATTCACACTCACGCACATTTCCACATCCTCCCCCTAATCCCCACGTACACAAACATCAGTTTGAATCTGTTCTCTACGTCCAAATTCTCAGGTCAATAACTTTCTTAATGTTGTGTCCCAATAGGGTGATGGGTAAAGTAAATGCCAAGTGACAGACACAGTAAGATACCCAGACATGTGCAAACAAGTGTTACAAGAACCAGCAGGATTTGTACCATGCTGTTTATCAGAGGGCTGTATCTCAGGAACCCCTTATTCAAACAGCCCCATGTTTGGACCACTATCCCCAATCTGCATCCTCGTGAAACACAGCAAATTCCAAGCCAATTTCAGTGAGCAGGAGGATTTTAGAGCCAACAGCCAACCTTTAACAGAGAGGAGTGCCCATCCTTAACTACAGCCTGGTGATATCTGAATTTAAACAATCATCTGGCTGTAACAGTGCTCGGAAGTAAACAAACAGTGAAGGTGGAACAGTAAATTCCTTGCACAGGAAGGAAGCCAATGAGCTTAATAATTTAAAAGGACAAAGTTAAGGTGGACAGAATTTGTAGGTCCCCTATGGGACTCTGGATACCAAGGTAGGAATAAACGGTATTCAAGCTCATTCCGCCTTTTAAAAATCAATCTATACTCCGCTTTAATACTGAGAGACTACTGGATGTTGTCATGCCGAGAGAACCAGGATGTGTTAGCAGCAAACAGGAAGTAGACGGGATCTCAGCCCTAGTTCTCAAGCAGGGAGCTAATACCTCCAGGTTCCTCCACCGACTTAACTTGATGATTAGCGCCAACAAACCAGGAAGCAGCAACCGGATCAAGACTCTAGCAAGAACCCTAATCTTTTATTAGCATCTTTATTTAATTCTGCCCTGCCCCCCAGATTTAAATAATATACAGATGCCTATTACAAGGCCCTGGGTGCCTTAGCACATAATTAATACTACAGGGGAATGCCACAGAGCCATTCATAGGCCTAAGGCCAGAAGAGACCACTCTGATCATCTCATCAGCCCTCCTGTATAATGCAGGCCACAGAACTTCCCTGAATTCATTCCTCTTTGAACTAGAGATCTTTTTGATTAACCATCCAACCATGATTTAAAAATTGCCAGTGACGGAGAATCCACCCCACTTGGAACACCACCGAATTAAACCTGCTTCCAAGAAATTCCCCACTTCCCAAGTGATAATACAAAGAAATGTGTTTTTTAAAAGTGCAACAGAGGATTAATTACTTGTTAATTGCTAACTTTCCACAAAAGTGACAGAAGCCAGGGAAATTGTCCGGTATCTCTGAAATATACATATGGATTGAAAGGGACCAGGTATAAGTGGGTTACATAGAACTGAATGTGCAATTTTATGCTCTTCTCTAACAAGACGGATACTGGGAGCACTAACTCTTTTGGAAACTGCATATCTATGTACAGAGTCAGCAGACCCTGAACTGTAGTGACAGGGCACAGAGACCCCCAGTCAATTTAAGATCATTCCCTTTCAAATAGTTTTTCAAGGTTTCGCCAGTTCAGTTGTAGGCTTCCCTGCTTTCCCTGGGGACCATCCCCCAGGCTAACAGATCCGGTTGTCTGAGATTACCTTTCCTGCACCACTCTCAGCAATCTTCCTCACCCTCTGCTCCTTGCACTCTTCAAGCTTTGCACATGCTTACACCCCATATTTCACTAAGTGCAGCACATTTAGTCTCCCAGGTCAATTCCTTCTCCTTTACAATAAGGTTATTCAACCCAAAATCGGGCTACCAGAACGTGTCAACAAGTCATATGGGAGTCAGCGCCCTTGGCTCCAGTCCTATGCGGCTGGCCAGGCTCGGCTCCATGACGACGGGGGCAAGCCGGGCCAAATTTGAGAGGCACGGTGACTCCATGTACCAGGTTGCGATGCCACTTTCACAAATTCGGCCTGGTCGTCCCGCCAGGGGAGCTCGGCCAAACCAGAGCGGTGATGCGACACCAGAGCCCAGCCAGACGCGCAGTCCTGGAGCTGCAGTAGCTGCCGCTATGGTATGCACTGTGTACTTACTACATTGACGTGTCTATTCAATATTGTGGGTAAGATGTTTCGTAAACCAGATATTGTTTGCACTGAAACTATTTCCTGGGTCGCAACAGGCCACCCAGGTTTACAAACTGGTCCTGAGCCCCAAAAGGTCGAGAGCCGCTGCTCTACAACAGACTGGTTTCCTGCAACAGAAGCTGCCTCTGTGAATAGAAATTGTGCAAATAGCGGCTGCATGATACAGGAAGTAATCAGGTCCGAGGCAGTATAGAGAGAGCTGCTAACATATACCCAACGCCTTTCATCTCAGGATCTCGAATGCCTCTACCTGTGGGTAAATAGCCTCATTCTGCAGAGGAAGAATCTGAAACAGGGGGGGAAGGACTTGCCTGAGGTCACACAGTGAACCCATAGCAAAGCTGGGAGTAGAATCCAGGTCTCCCGCCCGCTATGCTCCCTGTCTCACCATTAGACATGCTGCCTCCCTCAGGAAAGAGCTAGGACGCCTGGTAGCTCTGCAAAAAGAGAGGAGGCCTCTGGCAGGAGGTCGAAGCTGTTCTACCTACCGTGCTGGTGATTGTTCCCGCGGTCACAGCCTGCTGGAAGTGCGCAGCGAGCCCGGCTTTGTCCTTGCATTGCTCCTTGCACTCCAGACACCGGAAGCAGTTATAGCTAGTTTGCTCCGAGCCGCCACTCAGGGGCAGGATGGGTTGGTCCTGAGCCCCATTAGCTGTCGCCATGGCATCCTGAGGCACCCCGGCCACTTTGCCAGCAGTGAGGGAGGTCACTGACACTATGGGGGTGATGTCCGGCTGGCCAATCATTTGATCCAGAGCAATAGGTCTCATGACCAAGTGGGAGCACTGCATCACCAGGCCTTTGTCCTTGTGCTCCCGGGCATGCAGGAGCAAGCTGCACTTGTTGAAGAAGACCAGGCGCTTGGTGCAGTGGTTGCAGGTCACTTCGATGCGCATGCTGCGCCGGTCGTAGTGCCGAGCCAGGCTCTTCTCCAGGGCGAAGGAGTCCCCGCACTCCAAGCAGCGATACCCGAAGGGCGGGAGAGTCAGGCTGGACTCTGCCGGAGGATTCAGGTTGGGTTTGTAGGTTGGCAAGAGGTTTTTACTGTTCAGGATCTTGTTGAAAGCCTCCACCAGGCTGGACTGGCTCCTGGAAATGACCGTGCCGGCAATGGTGGGCGAAGGCTTCTGCGGCTGCACCATCACCACCGTGGTGCCGTTGACCTTCTGGTTGGCCGTGGTGGTGACGGTGGTGGTCTGGGTCACCGTGCTGACGTTGGTTCTGGTGTCGGCTTTGGGGAGGGTCTGCGGCACCAGGTTGATAATGTTCTTCGTCACGGCCTTGCCCGGCAGCACCACGGATTTCTGCTGGGCCACGCTGGCGGCGATCAGCATGGCGCTGCTGGCGTTCTGGATGGTGGTGACGGGCAGAACAGTCCCTTTGATTTTGGTGCCGTTGCCCAGCTGGACACTGACAATTTTGGGCCCTTCTATGACTTTCAGGGGGCTGGAGAGCTCCATTTTCTTTTTGGGCACCTCCAGCACGCTCTCCTCTTTCACCACTGCAGCCGGGAGCACGGAGTCCTCGGTGGCGGCCTCCTGAGAACCTGGTTCCGAAGGCAGCTTGGCAGCTCCCGGCTCCGAATCAGAGGAGACTCTGGTCACCGTCCGGGTGATGCTGCCGGAAGATGTCTTGATGGTTTTAATCCGCACTTTGAGAGGCCGCGAGGAACTGGAAGAGGGGGAGTCATTGCTGCCGTCTTCATCCTCCTCCTCTTCCTCCTCGCCGCTTGACATGCTCTGCGGGGGTTTCTCTAGAGCCTCCTGCTCTTCCTTGAGGGGGATGCTCCCCAGCGGTTTGGGGGAGCCAAGGGGTCCAGGGCTTCCCTCTGCCAGTGGGGAAGGTTTGAAGAACGGCTCCTGAGGGCTGGTGGGCGAGTTTTTCACTTCGGGGAGGTTGCTGGTGCTGCTGTCAAGGTTTGGATCTGAGCTAGGCCAGGACGTGACGGGGGAATCATCCGTGGAGTAGCGGACGGTGACCGACTTCAGGTGCCCCAAGGGGCTGTCACGCAGGGCTGCAGCCAAATCCTTAGGGCTGGCCCCATGGTCCAGCTCCTCCGAGTCGGACTCCTCTTTCTTGATCATGGGGATGGTGGCAGGGGAGCCGTTCACGCCCCCCGCCTGACTGGTTTCAAAGGACTGCGGGAAAGCCGGCGGGAGGGTCTCTGTGCTCTCTCCAGCTGGCTCTTTGCAGTCTGGCGACGGGGCAGGAGATGGGGTGGGGGATGGGGAGAGAGAGGGCACAGAGAGGGCTTTCTCTTTCTGTTTGCCCTCCCGGGGCCTGTCAATCAGATCCGCAGAGTTCTCCTCGTGGGGATCGGGGCTGAAGTGGGAAAAGATGTCCATGGGTTTTGCCCCTTTCTCCTTTGATGTCCAGCACTCTCCGTTGGACGATGCCACTGCTTCCCCTGGCCTGGAGGTGGGGGACCTGGGCATCTCGGGGGCACCAAAGCCATTCTGCAGCAGGCGGGGCCCGAGGCCATGCCCATCTTTGCCGCGGCCGTCCAAGGGGTCAAGCTGCTCGGGGCAGACAGTGTTCTTCACTATCACGCTGACGGCGGTGATGTCCGCGTGGGGGAGGACGTGTTCAGGGGCCACGGGCTCCCCGGGGACCTGCTTGATGTGAGCCTCAGCCTCCTCATGGCCAGAATGGATGGCCTCGTTGGTGTCGATGTCCGGAATATCGAAAGCTGCCAAGAGGTCATCGAAATCCGGGGTCTTCATGTCACCCATGGTGAAGAATCCGGCAGAGTCTAAGAAAAGGAAGACAAAGGATTTAATATCACAGGGCAGGGAACATTCTGACCATGCTGGCATCACAGAGCAGCAGGCCACGCACAGGACCAGAAGCTCGGACATTGTAACCCCAGCTCTGTCGGTCTATCCCAGGTTCTGGCCCGTCACCCTACGGGCCTTAGCGTATTTATCCTCACAACCCCTGGGTGCATGTCTCCACTGCAGTCCCATAGCAGCTCACAGACATACACACGCTAGCCTTAACCTAGCTAGCTAGGGTCATGCAGCAGTGACGCCGTGTAATGACGAGTAATTGTCAGTAATTACCCAGGGGGTTCCAGGTGGGTACACTCCTCGCCAAAGCCCACGCCGCCAGGGCTTCGCTACTCCGGGACCCGAGCTAGCTTCAATCTAACCAGCTTGGGTACGTCTACACGAGCTGCAGTCACACCCTAGGACTGCCATAGAGATGTAACCTTTTTGACTCACCCCAGGTCATACAGGAGGCCTGTGGCAGGGTGGGGAATTGAACCGGGTTCTCCCAAGTCCCAGGCCAGCGCCCTAATCCCTAAGCCATCCTTGCTGTCTAGTCCCAGCTCTGACCCCCTTGGGCATACATCACTTTGCCCCTCCCTGCTGCTGTTTACTGCATCTTCTTCTGTAAAATGGGAATAAGCACCTCACACCGGAGTCACAAGGGTTTGTTCGCTGTGAGAACATGGATTCATAGAGCTCATAATGACCACGGCGGCACCGAGGATACGTCTCCAAAAACCCCGTTATCCCACTCTTCACAAATCTAGTGTCACATCAGGCGCTTGGATGCTACTAAGACGTGCCCGTCGGAATGCCCATGGGATCTGAAAAAATTCTTTACTGCCTCTTGGAACACAGCCAAAGTTCTCTGTGGACAGCTGGGGGAAACTTTAGTCAAAACCCCAATTTTTTCTATCGAAAAATCAGTTTTGATGTAAAATTTTCAACCTGCCCAAAATATCAGAATGAAACAAATCTGCCCATCTCTCTCCATCATAAAGGGGCCATCCTGATATTCTATGATTGCCCTGCTTACACCAGGACTGAATGCAACTTATGATTCTGAAACCTGCAGAAAGACTGACAACAGGAAAGAATCCAATTTACGCCCCAAAGAGTGGATTATCTGAAACACATACATAGGCCAACTTCTAGCAATAACCATCAGATAACCCACTGGAATATTGTGCTATAAACCACATCTAACCCCTTCGCTCCATCAGGAACTTCAGTAGGGTGACCAGATGTCCCGATTTTATACTGACAGCCCCAATTTTGGGGTCTTTTTCTTATATAGGCTCCTATTACCCCTCACCCCCGTCCCGATTTTTCACACTTGCTGTCTGGTCACCCTAAGCTTCCGAAATATTCATCATGACGTTTACTAGAAGAATTGCCCCTTTGATGTCATCGATTTGTAGGAATAAGTGGCAAAATATCTGGCAAACACCAAAACTCTTAAAAAACCCAATTCTAAGATGACACATGAAAGATCTTCCATGATTGGGCCAATATTTCAGCAGCTGTATTTCCCCTGCCTCATTAATGCTTGTTCACAACCTTGTAAGAGTTCTATGAGTAGCTGGGCTTTTCACCTCCATCTTAACTGTGACGCTTCCAAGAGTTGGTACTTTAACTTGCAGGCTTCTTTAGCTACATGGACGTGTCAGGTCAACACAGCTACCTCACTCAGGGGTGTAACAAATCCACACCCTGAGGGGGGTTAAGCCCACCTAAATCCCCCTGTAGCAGCACTAAGTGAATAGAAGACCACTGACCTAGCTACTGCCTCTCAGAGAGGTGGATTGCCTATACTGATGGGAGCATTCCATCAACGTAGATAATCACAGAATATCAGGTCCCTCAGGAGGTCATCTAGTCCAACCCGCTGCTCAAAGCAGGATCAATCCCTAACTAAATCCCCAAGTCTCTAAATGGCCCCCTCACGGATTGAACTCACAACCCTGGGTTTAGCAGGCCAATGCTCAAACCACTGAGCTATCCCTCCCCCCACTATAGTGTTTCCAAGTGCAGACAAGCCCTCTGACTATCTGTAAGCAGCACATTGTTCTGAGCCCCCACAAACACATATGTGAGCAAAACCATTCTGTCTCGCTACGTTTATTTGGGGAAGGACAGGACGAGTTTCTCAGAAGAGCTCTTGTTGGGCTGAATACTGGTGTTGTTTTAAAATTGGCGCACACGTGCATGTGGTCTACACGACCGACCGGTGGGAAGCAACAGCTCCTCTGTGGCAGAGGGGATCAGCGAGGGAGCGGGCTCTCAAAGCACACCAAGGAAAAGCGTCCTAAATAAGAAATGACAGCATGTTTTCACAGATGGCAAAGTCACATCATGCAAAGAACGCAGCTACAGCGCACACACACCCTGGCCTGGTCTGGTTCTGTTACTGGGGCTCTGCACAAAACAGATTGCGGAATGGTATTAACCTAGATTAAGGCTGCAGCCGTTCCAAACTTTTGTAGAACGGTGGTTCTCAACCAGGGGTATGCGTACTCTGGGGTTACTCCGAGGTCTTCCAAGGGGTACATTAACTCACCTCAAGATTTGCCTAGTTTTCCACCAGGCTACCTAAAAAGCACCAGCAAAGTCAGTACAAACTACAATTTCATACAGACAATGACTTGTCTATACTGCTCTATATACCATATGCTGACATGTAAGTACAATATTTATGTTCCGATTGATTTTATAATTCTATGGTAAAAATGAGAAAGTCAGCAATTGCTCAGTAACAGTGCGGCTGTGACACTTTTGTATTTTTATGTCTGATTTTGTAAGCAAGTCGTTTTTAAGTGAGGTGAAACTTGGGGCTACACGAGACTAATCAGACTCTTCAAAGGGGTACAGTCGCCTGGAAAGGTTGAGAGCCACTGATCATAGAATCATAGAATATCAGGATTGGAAGGGATCTCAGGAGTTATCTAGTCCAACCCCCTGCTCAAAGCAGGACCAATCCCCAATTATTATTTTTTTTGGTTTTTGCCCCAGATCCCTAAATGGCCCCCTCAAGGACTGAACTCACAACCCTTCATTTAGCAGGCCAATGCTCAAACCACTGAGCTATCCCTCCCCCCAGTGTAGAAAGGCACCACAAACAGTCCTGTGTGATGGCACCAAACCAAAGACATGGTCTTTATGATGAAGGCATGCGGCTAACTGTAGCAGGTCACTGTCTCTGCACTAGCATAAGGCATTTCCATGGGCCACTCTAGCTACAGCTACATTGACCTGCAGTGGTCTAAGAACATGATTAAGGATGACAGACACTGTGGAAGTAAATGTTTTAACATGGTTCAGGTGGCCAGCACATATGGGGTCAAATGGGGGGTAAGAAACCTAGTTCTGAGTCTTAGCTAAACCTGTTTTCATACATGGTTTGGTCTCATTCGTGTCCTCGAGACCTCATTAGAAACCTGTTTCACGATGACTGAGCATAAGCAGGGTTTTAAAACCCACTAGGAAAGCCACTGTAGACAGCTTAGTAAGTAGGTTTAGTCTAGTTATATTTTTAACCCTCACAATCGGTCATTCCAAGGGGGATCTCTGTTCAGTCGATTGACCACCACCAGAGACATCCCCACGCTGCACCAATGTCATCTATCGTACCATGCGGGTGAGCGTCTCAGTGGTACTCTTCCAGTGCCCAGCCAAATAGCTGTGCCCTGCAAAACAGACACTAAGTGTGGCTACACTGCAATTAGACACCCCTGGAGGGTCTGTCAGCCCACACGGGCTCATGGGGCTCAGGCTAAGGCAGAGGGGGGCAAACTACGGCCCACGGGCCCATCCTGCCCGGCCCTTGAGCTCCTGACCGGGAAGGCTAGCCCCTGGCCCCTCCCCCGCTGTCCCCCCTCCCCTGCAGCCACGCCGCCGGGCGGGTAGTGCTCTGGGTGGCGGGGTTGCGCGCTTCTGCCAAGCAGCGCGGCTGGCTCTGTCCGGGCGGCGCGGCTGCCAGACATGCTGCTCTGAGGCCTGGTCTACACTCCGGGTTTAGCTCGACTTTAGCGGCGTTAAACCGAATTAAGC